CCCCCGATACTTACTACCTTGTAAATTTAAAATTTTCAGATCAAAATTGGGGACCATACTAAGCTACATGTATGCTCAATCATACAATATTGTTTTAAATTGATTGAATTAATATGAATTTTTAGCGTAAACAGTTACCCATAAAACATACACAATCTAAGTTTAATACATATATTTTATTTTCATTGAGGGGAATTATTTCTGCTGGATTTTATTTTGGCGGATTGAAAATGGTAGTTTCACAAAAAATTTAAATTATAAATTAGATCGAAATTTAAGAATTTTTAAGCAATATAGCGGTAGCTATATTTTCAGGATGCTAGAATGTTGGACGTTATGACAGTGTCCCTTTATTTACTCTAGAGATTAAATTATTAACAATTCCATAACAACGGAAAATGTGTTTTTCAATGATCTGAGCAGTTGTTCTACCCTATGATGACAAATACAACATTGGGTCTGAGTAATGCGATGATGGGGTTCAATTTATGAAATTGGGTTTGATCAACGAAATGGTGGGCTTCAGTTTATAAAATTGGATCTAAGCAAAGCGATCATGGGGTTCAATTTATGAAATTGCATCTGGTCAATGAAATGGTGGGTGTCAGTTTATAAAATTGGATCTAAGCAAAGCAATCATGGGGTTCAATTTATGGAACTGGGTCTGAGGAATGTGATGATGGGGTTCAATTTATGAAATTGGGTTTGATCAACGAAATGGTGGGCTTCAGTTTATAAAATTAAATCTAAGCAAAGAGATCATGGGGTTCAATTTATGAAACTGGTTTCTTAGCACTGTGATGATGGGCTTCAATTTATGAAATTTTGTCTGATCAACGATGTTTTGGGGTTCAATTTATGAAATTGGGTCTGAGCATTGTGATGATGGGGTTAAATTTATGAAATTGGGTTTGATCAATGTTATGATGGGCTCCAATTTGTGACTGAACATTTGGAAACACATGTAATTCTGTTATTTTTGTCACCAAATTTATCAAGCAAACAATGACACTGGTGTATACCTATACATGTATATCTCAATTTCTTGTAACTATTCTAAATTCAGAACATCACCTGCTAAAATCTTCCACAAACAAAACGAGATCAATAAGAAAAAATAACCAAAGGATAACTGCTGAAAGCCTTCATGGTCATACCAAAATCAATTGGAAAAGGGGTGTCAGCTCTGTAACATTTGTAACAATGGACCACTTTCCGTCAACAATCAAAACATGGGATTTGACTAATGCGAAAGTATTTTAGGGGATATTTCCACGCTTAATAATGTGCTGTACACATTTAATGATGGTCAATTTCAATGAAGTAAGGATATCTAAATGCAATATTCCCTGCCTTTTGACTTTGAGCTATAAAAAAAGAAATTCAAGTTCAAAATCAAATTGTTCGATTTTCGCGGCAGACGTTCAATCCACGTCTTTTACCCAATAAGAGAGATCACCTATTCATGCTAATCAACTTCCCCTCAATGTCCATTATGTGTTACCGAGATTAGTGACTCTCCAGTCTGATTCAATGTTTTGCATTGATAAATTAATTTGATAGGTGATTGAGCCTGTCAATTTATTCTAATGCTCACTTCACCCTTTGAATAACGGAGCAATAGAGATTTGACACAGTACTACGTACTCATAGAAACAAAAATGATCAATGTTAATGTTATGTACATGGGACTCTATAAGAGATTAACAAACTGAACTAGAGACAAACCATTTACATCTAATACCTAGCTGTCCATGGCACTGAATGCTGCATGGATTTAAATGTAAATGGCTATCTATGTAGCAACCTTCTGTTTTTAGATGTTTATCCCATGATTCCTTTAATTAGTGAGATGTTTTCAGCACGTCACCATAATTACCGATACATACACCCTTACGTCTGTATCTACCTTTGATTTTAGCACTGTAAAACATACTGTTAGTACATGAATTCACATCAAAGACATCAATAATGATTAAATTTTTAGTTCATGTGCTCTTCTATTACACATACTTTTAAAAGAGCAAACACAGTATAGGGTACTCCTTCAACAAATATGAAGTGAATAATTGCAAAACTTTTTTTTTTACAGCGTCCACTGCTGCATGACACCAGATTACAAACTGATGGGAAAAGTTGGCATATTCCCATCGATTTTGAACTGTCAAATCAGCACTGGAAATTACCAAATGTCTGGCTGTGTGCAACAAGAACAAAATGAAGAACACGTAAATAAGGATTCAGTATTATGTGGCGTGTTGATTTGAAGCCATGATGTCATGGTTATAATAATTCATTATTTTTATGAAAATAAAATTATGTTTAGTGGCTTGAGGTGACCTCAGTCAAATTAATCATTGTATGATAATGATGATATATGCAGGGTTCTTTTTTTAATCAGTATTTTTAATTTTGATGTTTTTGATATTAGTCTTTGCGATTACCTGGTCTGTATGCGTGGATATTCCACTGATATCTCAAGAATTCCAATTTCAATGAAACTTGTACATAGATCTTCTGGGATAATGAGCAGCTTTCGTTGTTTTTATTGGTTGAAATACATGAATATTAATTACCTAATTTACATGTTTCGCTGGTATCACATGAACCATTGCACATCGGTGCTCTGGGTCACTTCACAGATCTGGTTAGTTTTTTTGTGGAAATCTGTGGATATTGAATATCTAATTTGCTTAATCATTTGGAACATAGGTGTTCTCATAAAAGTCGAGACCAAGCTAATCTAGAGTTGAACTCCATCAGAATATGTGATTTGTATGAATGAGCCAAATTATTAGATTTCAATAAAACTTAATACACATGTTCTGGGATAATCCAGAAACCTAATTAACATAAGAGACAATATTTCAGCTTACTTATAATGCATCTTAGTATTTGTTAGCTTTTTGTGATCACAATATCGAAGTTATGTAGCCTAATTTTTAATTAAATTAAAATCTTGCCTACACGAGATTGATGTCAAAGTCATTTCTAAGCCTTTGATTTGAAACTTCAGTGAAATGCATTTTTAAACTAAACCACTGTGTAAGTGCTAGTTAAATTATCTAACAAATTATGATGCAAAACTTCCACTGCCATTTTCATTTCCCCTGCTACAATTTTGGTTCTTTTCCTTTAAATTTTCTTCAAACTCGCCCCAAGGATTCAGATGAAACAAATTATATGTTGTCAACATCTTAGAAATCAAAACTGTGGATGATGACAGGGGTTGTAAAAGTCATTTTTTCTGAGAAGCAAGATGGTTAAAATTTACATG